ATATTGGCCTTTTATCAAGCTTCTTTCTTACCCTTGTGGTTCCTGATACCAGGTACTGGGTCAAGTTTGTTTCCCCCTCCCTGTGTCTTATAGGCCCAAGGTCTCCCAGCATGCTTCATGCTTGCTAACTCTAGGTGGAGATTTGGGGAGTGGAGCCTGGGGAGGACAGAGTTTGGGGAGTTGAAGGACCTCAGCAAGGTGCAATGCCAAAGAGTCCACCCTTCAAAACAGCCATTTTCTCCAGGGGAACTGATCTCTGACATCTGGACATCAGTTGTAATAGTGGGAGATCTCCAGGCCCCACCTGAAGGTTGGCAACCATATGGCAAAGGAGGATGTGGCACCATGTCTCCCAGATCCTAGTCCAAGACAATCAGTCCACAACACTGTTTAAGGGACTACAGCATCTTAAGCCCCAGCACTTCACTGATTTGTGGAGCAGAGCCTCAATTCAACACAAAGTCCACTGCTAAAGGAGAGCTTATTTCCCACAGATTATTCTTGGCCTTTCCTGAAGCTGCTGAAAGTAATATGTTATTAAGAGGCAGAAAAAAGCCTGTAAAAACCGAGATCTTATTTCATCTGGAGCGCTCATTAAAAATGCACACTGTTTGGGGTTTTTTTTGAGAACTCCGTCACTGCAAAGTGTTCCTAGGTTTTCCCAACTTAGGATACCAGTGTAAATTTTATAACTGTAAATAGCAGTGAGCTGGGGTAGCATTGTGGCAAAGGGTCTGACCTACAAGCCTGGAGTCTCCTGGTTCAAATCTAATCACAGTCACTGATGTATTATGCACTTTATGCAAGGTTGTCTCTAGCTTTCCCTCTAAATTCTTGTAATAATTATGTCATTGTACCTTACAGGACTGTTGTAAAAAATGCAACTAGCTAATGTATGTGGAGTGCTTCCAATATGAAAATCTCTATGCTCAGTATTAAGATTCAATTAATCTACATCATTAAGCAAGTATAAATCCCATGGGTTTAAACAAGAGAGTTATGCGCATGCAGTATGATTATTTAATTTATTCATCAATGATCTGGAAATAGGGGTGAGTTTGCAGATGACTGCGGTGTTTGAGCTATTTGAGTTGAGTTTGAGCTGCGGTGGCTCAAGTGGTTAAGACGCTGAACTGCAGGCTGTGGAAGGTCGGTAGTTCAGCAGTTCGAGACCCGGGTGCCGCATGACGGAGTGAGTTCCCGTCTCTAGTTCCAGCTCCTGCCAACCTAGCAGTTCGAAAGCAAGACATTGCAAGTAGATAAATAGGTATCACTTCGGTGGGAAGGTAACAGCGTTCTGTGCGCCTTGGTGTTTAGTCATGCTGGCCACATGACCACGAAAACGTCTTCAGACAGCGCTGGCTCTTCGGCCTTGAAACGGAGATGAGCACCGCAACCCTAGAGTCGGACTCGACTGGCTTTCGAGCAAGGGAACCTTTACCTTTACCTTTTGCAGATGACACAAAATTATTCAGGATAGTAAAAACCAAGGCTAATTGTGAAGAGCTTCCAAGAGGATCTCCACAAACAGGGTGAGTGGGTGACAATGTGGCAAATGAAGTTCAGTGCTGTTAAGTGTAAGGTGATGCACACTGGGACAAAAAAATCCCCACTTCAGGTATAGCCTAATGCGGTCTGAACTGGCTGGGACTGAGAGGGAAACAGATCCTGGGGCTGCAGTGGACAGCTTAATGGAAGTGTCAACCCAATGGGCTGCAGCACTGGAAAAGGCAAACTCTATGTCAGACAGTATTAGGAAAGGGATTGAAAATACAATGGCCAATATTATAATGCCCCTGTACAGATCTATGGTGCAGCCTCATTTGGAATACTCTGTACAGTTCTGGCCACCGTATCTCCAAAAGGACATTGCAGAGCAAGAAAAAGTACAGAAAAGGGCAACCAAGATGATTAAGGGGCTGGAGCACTTTTCCTAAGAGGAAAGGTGAAGAGTCTGGGACTTCTTAGTTTGGAAAAGAGACGACTAAGGGAGAATATGATACAGGTTTATAAAATTATGTAGGTGGGGGGGGGGGAGAGAGCTGACAGAGAAATATTTTGCCCTCTCCCAGAATTCTAGAACTCGAGGGCATTCAATGAAGTTGATGGGCAATAGATTCGAGACAGACAAAAATACTTCTTTACACAGAGAGTGATTAAAATGTGGAATTTGCTACCAGAGGATGTAGTGATGGAAGATTGGTCTATCTGTGGCTACTAGCCATGGCAACTGAGAGGAGCCTCCATGTTCAGAGGCACTAAACCTCTGAATCCCAGACCAGGAGGCAACATCAGGGGAAGGCCTCAGCCTCTATGCCCTGTTGTTGACCCTCCAGAGGAACTGGTTGACTACTGTGTGAGACAGGATGCTGGATGAGATGAACCACTGGTCTAATCTAGTAGGGCTCTTCTTATGTTCCTATGTTCTTATTGTGCCTGCAGCCTGTTGCTCAGTTAATGACTGCCTTTTGAGTCTTCCTAATGGAGAGTACTGGTTGGCAATGCAAACCTTGAACTTAACAGAAGTTGGGTCCATTTTTTTAAAAAAAGATTTGCTATTCAGATTCACCCTATCGCTCATTAAGCAAGAGTTGGAATGGCCCATAACAACTCTGAATTGACCATGTTTTCATCTATGCGCTGCAATGCTCTGTACTCTGTAGATGGATTTTCTCAGGCAACTGGACTTTCTGGTTTCTTCCCCCCCCCCACACTTCTTATCACTGTGTATATGTCTGCCAACTGAACATATAACTTCATGCATCTGATGAAGAGGGCTCTGTTCTGGGCCACACAAAAAACTTATGCCACAATAAATTCATTAGTTCTTCAGGTACCACATGACTCTGTTATATTGTGTATTGGTGATGATGGCTAGTAAATGCATGGGAAACAGATGCATGATGGGGAACAGATCAGAATCCATCATTCCCAAGAACATCAAGGTGGATGAATCATTTATTTACCTGTGGCACCTTTAGCCACTCTTTCTTTAAAAAGGGGGGCTCCGTGCTATACGTTTCAAACCTAGGCCAAATCAGGAATCAGAGCTGGTGATTAGGAATGAAGAAGAGCTCTCAATGCATCAAGAAGTATGAGAGAGTGCCATTCCGGTCCACCAGCTAGAAAAGTGTAACAAGGAAAATAAGTTTTTCTGAGCACGGAAGATACTTTTGAGTTTGCACTCAGCTCTTGGCTGTCTCTGTTCTCTGCTTCCACTTTGCAGTACTCTACAAAACCACAAAACTACTGCTGCACAAACGGCTGTACACAGCTGCACTGGCTCATTTTTTTAAAAAGACAGTCACATAGCACTTTTGTTATGAGTAGCCACCCAAATTGGTATAAAACAGTGAGTTAGGTGCTAAGTTTCCCCAAAGGAAAACTTGGAAACTTGGTCCCTGTTTTGTGGTATTTTGAAGGGTCCTAATGAAAAGGTGCCCCAATCTGGATAGCCCAGGCTAGCCTGAGCTCGTCAGAATTCAAGAAGCTAAGCTGGGTCAGCCGTGGTCAGCATTTGGCTGGGAGACCACCAAGAAACACCAGGGTCACTGAAGGGCTCTTGCCTTGAAAACTCTATAGGGTGGCCGTAAATTGGCTGCAACTTGACAGCAATTTTTTTTAATGAAAATGTGTTACATGTCTGTTGTTTGTTTTTAAGAGAGAGTGGTCTTGCAGCGAAATACAAACATGTTGTGTGACCTATGCTTTGGTGGCCTGGATCCTGCTTCACCAGATACCTGAATTGTGTCCCTTGTCTCCATACACAGTCAGAAGCACAGGGGAAAACAGCTCCTGTTAGGTATGTAAACTCCAGAGACCTACCCAGAGAGGTCTGGGGCAAGTGATGCTCTGTGTTCTTGGTGCTTGGGGGGGGCAACAGTGGGAGGACTTCTAATGTCCTGGCCCCACTGCTGGACCTCCTGATGGCACCTGGTATTTTTGGCCGCTGTGTGACAAACTGTTGGTTGGACTGGATGGGCCATTGGCCTGCTCCAACATTGGCGTCTCTTATGTTCTTATGTTTATGTTCCACCTTGGTCTACTGTATCAAACTAAAACTAAAACGGAGTGGTACCGTAAAGAGTAACATTTACTGCAGCTTTCATGAGTCAGAGCTCTCATCAGATGCAACAGAAGTAACCACTGTGATTAAACTGCCTGTTTTCAACTAACACCATTCATCCTATCCAGCTTTCATGAGCTGGAGTTCCCCACTAGAGCATCCAAAGAAGGGAGCTCCGACTGACAAATAAAAGTGGCTGATCTTGGAGATGCCACTGGTCTTCTGTTTTGTCTTCCAATGCACAGCCTGTACACATATCTAGGCAAAGCTCAAATATATACAAGATATTACAGGGCCCTGTTTGAGGAGTGCAGACCAGGGGAGAGCAGGAAGGAGAAGGGCTCCATGGGAAGTGTTGCTTCTGTCTGAGACCATCTTTAGTTCTCTGGCAAACTAGGGAAGGTCTTCACACGGCACACTTCGCACCACTGATTAGGGCTCCCCACCCCCATCAATTCTGGTCAACTGTTCAGAAGTGAAGGACAGGAGGACTTTACATAAGGTGGATTCCAAAACAAAGATAACATGGATTTTAAAGGGGGGGGGGGAGATAATTTCCACGGAGATGTGTCCCGGCACACACACACACACACATGGTGCACTACAGATATTTTCACAACCCACTAATTTTTCAGTTTTCTAGCTGGGGGCAGGGGCGGCGGGGGGGGGGGGTTACTTCAGAATCCCGCCAGGCAGACAGCCCAGCTCGATCGCAACCCAGGCAGAGCATCGAGACCCCTAAACGCCCCTTCCTCTCAAATAACCTCGAGAAAATACTTTTCCCCCCTTGGAAATGAAGCTTCCCAAGGTGACTCTGACTTGACTCCTTGGGAAGAAACGCGCCCCGCCCCCCGCCAAGATCGTCCTCGCCGGAGCGCCCGCGGAGCTGCCCCGAGAGAGGAGGCGAGAAGAAGCGGAGGTGCAAAAGCCTTACCTGGAGTCTTCGCGGCATCCGAGAGGCAGAAGCCGGCCAGGAGGAGAAGGAGCGGGATGACGGAGCGCGCCTCGGAGAAGCTCATGTTGCTGCCGGCCGAGCCGCACCAGCTCTGCAATGAGGTCTGGCAGAGGGGCCTCTGCAGAGCCCCTAGCGGCCGACGGCTGCTCAAGCCACAGGCCCTCGCTCCCCACCGAGCGACTGTTCGGGGGGG